CTGTGAACTTACACCTAGACATGTTTTCAGCTGAAATTGAGTTAATTTTCTTAGTAATTTTTCTAATATCTGGTACAGTGCTGTGTTTTGTCTTTAGTATGAGAAGAATATTGATAACACACTGATGTTTTAGTCATTGCTAAGTAATGTTTATCCTTAGTCTAGGGCTTTTTTTAGTTTCCTATGCTCTACAGGTGAGCAGATGCACCAGAAGATCAGGAGACTAACAGTCAGCAGAAGCTGCAACTCCACAAGATTTGAACAGTTAATGGCCTGTCTGCATGGACACAGAAAAAGAACCCAATAAAATGTTAGAAGATCCCAGACTAAAAATTACCATTGAACCAAGAGGTGTGTCAAGAACACATGAGGGGCAGGTACAGGTCATAAGGATATAATTGCTCCAGGGATCTCTTTATTCTGGGTCACTCTCCGGAGACACACAGCTCAAGCTGACCTGCTGCTGTGCCACTCTATGAAGTTATTTTTTATAAATCCAGTGCTTGAGACTCCTACAGGAAGCCTAAGGTTGAGCACAAAGAAGGAGGAAGTGTGCCCAAGAGCGTGTGTGTGTGTGTGTGAGCAAGGAGTCAAAAGGGGCCCGGCCCCTGTTGGCCCACTGAACCTGCCCACTGCAAAGGGACTGAGTCCAGCAGTTAGTCTCAGGTGGTATGTATGCAACTCCTTGAATAGTGTGAGAATGCTCAGTCAGTGGCTTGTCCTTTAACACAGGCCTTATAATTTGTTTGGATGAAACTAATTTCCTTCTGACATTGTAAGAAATACAATTATAAAGAACATTTAATGAGAGCAAACCAAACAAAAATGTTATAAAGTATGTATGAGTGGCCAATTATTGATAGATGAAGGGCATGCACGCTATTTTCTATATAACTCTGTGCAGTAGTATATATTACGTATAGTTGTACTTTAAAAAGCTACTAACACCTCTGTTTGAATTTAATTTTTTGGTTTTGTAATAATTTTTATCTTCAAAAGTCTCAGAGCAAACAGTGCTGTGAAAGAAACACTGAGTACTCTCTCCTATGTCTAGTCGAAACTTGTGAGTTTAAGGTGTGATGAGACCAAACAGCAGGTACTTTATCAAATTTGGATTTTTTTTCTAAAGGGATGGTTTGTTCTTGCCCTCCTTTCCCTGCTTCTTGCGAGCTCTGGCAGAAAATTGCACTTATTTTCTTGTTTTGTTTTCTTTTGACTTACTGAAATGAATCTACCCACGAAAGGATAAGCCAGTTCTGGTGCAAAGGAGGGACTATGACTGCGCAGTGACAAGTAGGGTAGTAAAAGACTAGGGAATAAAGTCCATCCCTGTTAGTGGCAATGAGAGAGGCTGGACTGTCTCTGCTAATCTGACCTTCAAAATCCTTCTGTATTTCTTCAGTGAAGTGGAGGTTTTATAGTGTACTAATCATATGACTTTATAAGTGATTGAATGATTTAAAAATATTTACCAGATAGGGGTGATTAGATGTTTAATGGCTTCTGCATACTGGTGTGTTCTATGTGTGCCTAGGAAATAAAATAATTTCTGTTGGAAAAATCTAGCACAGAAGTTTTTATGGAATTGCCTTTTCAAATAAGTGCAGTATCTGTGCATCAATGAAAGGAGAATGATATTTCTAAGCAATGTCTGATTAAGTATCCATCTGTGTCAGTAAGCATCACAACATTTTTCAGTGCTGTGTTCTCATTTAAGTAAAAAACTGGTCTTTCTCTAGCATCACCTCAAGATTACTTTTTCTAGTACTGTTACTAGAAAAGTGAGTGGCAAGAAAATAATGTTATTTTTTTCAGTATAGCCTCTTCCTCTCTCTGATCTATAAATTTCTCAAGTAGAACTAAATAAGGACATTAGTTTTTCTTTCTTTGAGACAAGGCTTTTCTTGTCATAGATATTTTCCCCTGAACTGTTCTTCCCTGCGTCAAACTGAGTCACAGTAGACTTTTTTTGACTGAGATAAAGACAAAGTTGTATTTTATTTACATACTAATACTCAAATTTTTGATGTCTAAATAGCCAGCTCAGGAGACCTAGAGAGTACAAACCTCATGTCATGGTTTGACGCTGGCGCAATGCCAGTGCCCCCATGAAAGTATATTCTTCCCAGTGACTGCTGTGAGATATGACCAGAAATAGAGCAAAGCAGGTTCCAACTTAGGAATAAAGGAAAAAACTTTATTAACTTACAATATGTAAAAAGGAACAGATACAGAACTCAGAATGAAAACCTTCCAAAACATTCCTCCTCCTCCCCCCGATTTCCACCACAGTATGATGAGATAAAACCTTAGATTCTCAATCCAGTTACCACCCCTCAGATAATCAACTCTCAGTCCATAACAAATGACCACAACCTCCCAAAAAACTCACTTCCTTCTTAACCCAGGACACCACACCAGAGCAAGTATTTTTTTCATGTATACAGAAACACAGGTTGATGTTGACCAGATATAGTGTTGTGAAATTACTAGTCCCTGTGCTGCCATCTCACTGAAAATATAATTCACTGATCACTGTATGAGGGATCAAACCAGCATGGTTTGAGTAGTGTGAAAAACGCCAATCACTTGTTTTAAAATTTTAAAAGTTTAATAGTAATAAAATGGTTATAAAAATAGTAATACAAATTAGAGCAATAAAAATTTGGACAATCAGAGTTAGGACAATAAAGGACAATAAAAAAGTGAAGGATTACGAACGTTCAGATGCTTTCCTCTGGAAAGCATGGGTCGCTAACAAAGGATTAACTCTTAAACGCACTAGCCTGTTGCATATTCATATATCTCATACATGATTCAAAAATTATTTTCAAACAAAGGGTGTTTTCTGGTTCTTGTCAACTTCCCCCCCTCATCTTGTAAATCAGTCATCTCAGTCCCCACCAAGTCTGGTTCTTCCCGATAAGGAGGCAATAATTCTTCTCTTTGGGATTTTAGTGTCTTGTTGCTGTTATCTCTGTGCGAAGAATTTCTTGAGCTAGTTAAAAAAAGTATCTTACATCGCATAGTTTCTATTTTAATATTATGTTATAGCCTAAAACTATTTAACACACTACTGAAAAGGATTAATACAGCATAACTTTCTAATATAACGCATAGAATATTAATTTTAATATTTGCGAAAAGTCAATCGTATAATATGCATTTTTCACAAGTAGTTAAATTCCTACTTAATGATAAAAAAATCTTATAAAAACGTAATTAGACTGTTAGCAAGGTGGCAACATGTAGATGAAACATTTTTTTTTCTGGCTGATAGGCCAGAGAGATGGAAAAGCAAGTATAGGTGTTCTTATAGTCCCTTTGGAAGCTGCTATGTAGATGGTATTTCTAAGTAGGATATTTGTGAAAAGTCTCTAGTTCATTTTAGCTGCCCTTTAGCTTCTTGTCAAGTTTTCTTCTTTGTTCTCTGGGCTAAAAGGCTGAATAGTGCAGTAGCTGTTCTGCAGTTATTAGTATGAATATTTAAATATATTCCTTTTGGCCAGATTGGTACTCTTTTGATATGTGTTTGAGCAACCAAATTTTTCCTTGCATGTACATTTAAAAATTCTTAGAAAAGCTGGGAGTTGCTCTAGCAGGTACAATACAAATCCCACTGTGTATAACACTTGGTTAGTCATTCAGTCATCAAATCTGTATTTTACTTACCCATGTAATAGAAGAATTATGTGATAGTAGAAGAATTATGTGGTAATGAAGATTTGTGGGTGAAATAGATAGAAATAGTGATTTTATTACAGTATAGGGATGTATTTATGTCTCAACATGTGTACTCATTTGGGTTTGTTGATGCTGTGCTGTGGCCTTAGAAATAAATTGTTACCTGCATTAAATTACAATCTCTGAAAATTCTTATTTTAAGTTGCTTTTAAGAGAGTTTTACTCAGTATTCACAAACATTTTTTCTTTATATGTATGTTCTTGTATTTTACGGTATGTATTTTATGCCTCTTTTTGTTTTTTTTGGAAGTAAAATGCTTTGCTCTGTGTTTGGGGTTTTTGTTTCTCATTCAGCAGACCTGAACTTATCTTTCTTTTGTTGTCTGAGATTAACTAACCTTTCTTTCCTTAACACTGGTGTTTCTCTCCCATAAGTATTTTCATAATTCCCTTGGACCATACAGCATTTCATTCATTAGCCCAAAGGAAGCATGAACTCTCTTTTAATTTTCTTTAAAAATGAAGTTTCAAAGTGGGTTAGGGTGAGCAGGACAACACCGAGATTTTCACGGCACCTTTTAGAATTGGGGAAGTAGCCTCATAATTGTGCTGCAGATGGAGGGGGGGAAACAGCATGCAATTACAAACATACAGTTAGAGGAAGCTTGGGATGGATCAGCAATCTGATGAAGGATTGTCAGGGTACTGAAAAATCTTTTTGAGCCATCCATGCTTTCTTGGGCTCTTCAAGTACTAATTGCCCTTGTCTGCAAAAATGCACTTTTTAAAAGCAGTAAATTAAATATTCTACTGATTTTTCTCATCTGCACTTTTTAAAGTGCTGTAAATTTATTGTTTCTATACTTCTAAACCCATCAATTATTTGTTCCATACCATTCATCTGTAAGCAAATGTGTTGAATGAGAGATCTTTATTATATGTTGAATTACAAGTGGAGAGGGACTTCGGCAAGGGGGAATGGCTTCAAACTGACAGAGGGCAGGTTTAGATTAGATATTGGGAAGAAAGTTTTGACTGAGGGTGATGAGGCACTTGGAACAGGTTGCCCAAGGAAGTCGTGGATGCCCCATCTCTGGAAGTATTCAAGGCCAGGATGGGTTTTTGAGTCTCAACACCTGCCCATGGCAGGGGGTTTGGAATGAGATGATCTTGAAGGTCCCTTCCAACCCATACCATTCTAGGATTCTATGAACATACTGTCTGTAACTGAAAGCAATGTGTCGTTTAGGTAATACTGTGAAGAGCAGGACTGAGTTATTTGAGTAAATTATTCTTCCTCTTCTGTTCTTGTTTAGGCTGCTGTATTGCTGAAGACCTTATCTAGTTCACCCAGTCTTCCAGACCATGTGCTCCATGCTTTGAGACCAGGAGGACCTTAGTGTTCTGAAATGAAGATGGAGACAGTGGGAAAAGCAGAACTTGTTGATTCAGTTCCACCAAAGACTTCTGAAAAGCAAGAAACTGCTCCTGATGAAGATGGACCTATAGAACTTGAGACACAAACTCAGAAAGACAACATGCACGCTGCAGCAGACTCAGTGGTGCTTTCTTCAATGCCTTGCTTACTGACGGAACTGAGGCGAGACTCTTCTGAGTCTCAGTTGGCATCTACAGAGAGCGATAGGCCAATGGGTGGTCGAGTTTATGAGAGTGACTCTTCTAATCACTGCATGCTTTCCCCTTCCTCCAGCGGGCATTTGGCTGACTCAGACACATTGTCTTCTGCAGAAGAGAATGAGCCCTGTCAAGCTGAAGGTATTGTAGAGGGAGACCTTTCTGCAGTGTCTGGGGCTGCAGTTGGGAGGAAATCCAGGAGATCCAGGTCCGAAAGTGAGACTTCAACAATGGCTGCCAAGAAAAACCGACAGTCTAGTGATAAGCAGAATGATCGAGCTACCAAGGTAAAAGGTCATAGAAGTCAAAAGCACAAAGAAAGAATCCGTCTCTTGAGACAGAAGCGGGAGGCAGCTGCTCGCAAGAAGTACAACCTGCTTCAGGACAGCAGTACCAGTGAAAGTGACCTGACGTGTGACTCAAGCACGAGCTCATCAGATGATGATGATGAAGAGGCTTCAGGGAGCAGCAAGACAATCACTGCAGAGATACCAGGTAGAGGATGTTTTTTAAACTGAACTGTAACACATCTGACATAATTTTTCAGCTGTCGTGCTAAATTAGATGAGTCACACTTGAGAAAAACCAGGAGAACTGCAGCTCTGTGTAAATTTGAAGACTGCAGTGTATTAAGACATGGGGAAATTTTAAAATCTGTCCTGAGGTTTCAGATCACTTTTGCACACCAACAAAGCATAGAAATGGTAACTTGGAGGAAGGACTATATTTGAATTCTGGAATTTTTAGATATTTTCATTTATAAGCCTAGATAAGCTCTTGTTAGTGCTGTCAAATCCAATTAGATGGTGATTATCTAATAAATACATTCTCAAGAAAAATAGCCAGCTTTGCTTTAATATCTTAAGACCACAGATTGGCAGCTGTGTTAGAAATAACACAGCATACCTCTTGCCTGTGTTACAGTAAGGCCCTGTTCATTACTGCACTGTGCTTTCAGCTCTATGTTTCAGTGCATGACAAACCTGCTTAGCCTTATTGTAAGTTCTTTCAGATTGCAGCTGGTCACCTATTTTAGTATATAAATATCAATTTGTTTATGCAGGTGCCCAAGCTATATCCACACCTAAATTTTCAACATCTTAGACAAAGCTGTTACAATTTTCCTATGTCATAGGGATCCATAATTTCTATATTTTTAATTTTCTGACACATCTGTGTTAAGATTATAGGCAGCAAATTATAGGGGCCTTCTCATCATTTTATTAGCAAAAGAAACATTAATTCTTCAAGTTTTTTGTCTGCTGAGTCTTTGTTATTAGCTCAAGTGCTGTGGACAGGATTTTGTGTGAAAAATTATTTCAGCATATTATACCACAGAACCATCATAATATGGCAATCAAAAATAAAATCACATAAAAATAAACTTTTTGGCTTGCCAATTTTTACTAGATTACATGCTTTTATGCCTCTTGTGTTAGAAGTTGGGTGTTGGGGGTTTTTTTGATATAAATATCAGCTTACATAGGGCAAGAAGATTTAAAGGAAAACTGCAATAATTAGTCTTGAGTTGCTGAACTAATGTTTGCTAGATGAATTAAAATATTTGCAGCAGATTTTGCAAATAACTGTTTTAACTGACTTGGTTATGGTGAATGATTCTGTCATGATGAGAACTGGGATTTTCCCCATATATTGCTAGGAAGCAGGTTGCACAAAGTAAATGTTTATTATTAGAAAGTCTGGGAAAGGCATAGTTTATAATTATTGTGTAGTAAACTTCTAATAGAGATCTAAAAATATTTGCCAATTTAATAGTTACTCAGACTTCTAGCTTTTATAATTTTATGCCTTTTTCTTTGCTATATTTATACTTTGCTGGGCAATTAAAACCTCATTTAAAGCCTGTTGAAGAAGACTATTTCATTGAGTTTTGGGACAGGTTTCTCCCCACCTCACAAACCCCATCAAACTTACACAATAAGTCCCCCAGATTATTATTATTATTATTTTTTTTTTTTTTTTAAGTCATAAAAGGATCTTGTGACCCAGGAAGGCACCACAGGGTATTTTCACATCTGCTTAGATTTCTGACTTCCATTGCAGAGACCTGAAACCACTCTAGGTTATTTTGTGTCACTAGGCTCTTCTGTATTTGAGTTCTTGGTCTTAACCACAAGATGTTTGCAGTGAAGAGGTCCCATTGCAGTGCACAGAAGAACTTGATTATTTAGTGATGATTATACTAAGGCCCAGTTTTGCCTGTGATGCAAGATATGGGAGTGCACAAACCATCCTGAGGAACAATGATGCTTATTCATAGCACATATCATTTACTTTATGCTAAATTCCACTTATGACATTCAAATGTTTGAGCTGTCCTTTTGCTGCAATTAGGTGCAATGTGTACCTGCCACATTGTGGTTTTCCTTTAAATAGAAATTACTTTGGTTTGTGGGAAATGTTTTCCAAGTACAAGTGAAAAGCATTCTCTATAGACATAAGGACAAGGTTGGCCAGAAATGCATCCTATGCTACTTGTGGTTAATGAAGTATTGTGGTCTTAACAGATGCAGTGGAGCTGTGAGTGTGAGTAGCACTTAAAGCTCTCCATCGCAGTGGTAGGTTCACATGACATTTGCAATCCCTCCTATTGGAACTGGCAATGTACTTAAATTCTTTGTCTTTACTAGAAAGCTGCTTTATTGCACTTGGTATTACACTGTGAATTGCTTAAAAATTTAAGGAATTCTTATCTTTTAATGACTGAGCCTCTCTGTTGGCATTTAAGATTTTGCCATTCTTAAACACTAGATAGCATTCACAGCCTAAGAGAATGATCTTTGAATCCTTGAATAGGTTCTGCTAGATCTGCTGCTGTTAAAAGTTTTTCCTTTGAACAATTTTGAATTTGACCATGCAAATTAACTCTGAATGAAATTGGCATGAGAGCAAGTTGGGGAATCAATATTTATTTCTATGCAAACATTTTTTTTTTTTGAAAGAAGAAAAGGGTTTTTAAAAAGTCAAATATAATAGAAAAATATTGGCATTTCACCATTATTGTGCTTTTTGCAACTCAGAAAACTGAAGTGAAATAAGGGTGACTCATGTTTCAGGCTTTCAGAAGAATCTGTTGAAAAGTTTGAGTGTTGATGTTGAAAATGTGTTGCAGCTCACTTTGTTAAAAAAAAAAAAAAGGGGAAAAAAAGGAGTTTTTATTTTTTCATATGAAGAAATCCAAAGGGGAGGGCACAGTGTGTATGTATGAGGGACTCTCAAGCAGGTTACTTCCTCTCAAGAACTGTACATAGGCCTTGGAAAAAGCATCTTGCAAGGGATACATTTGGTTCAAGTAACTCAGGATGATGCTTGTATAATAACAAGGGAAATAAATAATCCATTAAGGAGGATTTGCTGTAAGATACTCCTTTGGAAATGTCAGTAAGCATAACGACATGGAGGAATACACCATTGCTAGTTAGAATGAAGACGCAACATATCTCCTTAAATTGTTTTCTTGTCAGACTTCCTAAATTAAATAACTGTAGATTTGGTTATTATTTAGATGATACTTAATCGATCACATAGACAGTGTTGGTGCATTTCTTAAGTGCTGTTTTGCAGGAGGTTGTTTTGAAAATAAGATACAAATCTTGACTTCTGACCTCTTTTGTAATTGCAAATTTCTCTGTGTTTTAACTTGGCATAACTTAAAAAAAACGATAGAGTTGTAAGTTTACAGATAGCAAAGAGACCAGTTAGATAAATGCTAATATTTTTAATATAAAATGCATTCTTATTAGGCTTGATTTTTGTTTTTAACCCTGAAAACCACAAATAAAGATTGAATAAGGCTTATTATAAGAACTGCAAGGGAAGCATTTGAAACACTGATTTGCTGCTACTGTAAATTGCAGATGTACTATGAATGATGCCTTTTAAAAATAGTATTGCAGGGTACTATATATTTCAATACCTAGTTTCTTCAGTTTGCAAAACAATTTTATCAACTTTGACCATGCTAGTTCATTCTTAACTTTAAAAACCTGGCTAGGTTGTCTCACACACCATCATCAATAGTTTTTATTTAAATTGCAATTAAAACTTAATGTTGCTTAGAGGTATCTATTCATAAGCCTGTGGAAATCGGAAAGACTGTCATTTAGTTACTTGATTTTAGGATAAGATCCCTGACTAAAAATGAACAGTATCATATTGGATGTTCAATACTAGGAGTATATGAATGGAAGGAATATTTTTTTCAGGGAGGAAGAAGACATTGAATATATAAAAGGAACCACATTTTAGGAAAAAGGTACCATTTTATGTAATTATTTTAGTTAAAATGCAGTCAGAGGAATGTTAATTAGTTACTATAGAGTATATATTTATTTTTGAGTAGAAGACATGAATGCTAAATTTCCAGCTTGTCTGAAAGGTAAACAGATGGGGGTTTAATAGAATATTTTTGGCCCCTGATGTGTAGTGTTACTGCTGCTCGGAAAAAAGATTATAATCCTGGGCTTTGTTTAGCTGTTACTGAAGGTCTTATATATACCTCATTTATATAGATCCAAAAAAAGAATGTGTTGTTTAAGCAATACTGTAATTTAATGTACACACTGAAATCTCAAAAAAAGATTTAGTGCCTTATATTTTTATTAGTAAATATTTGGTTAGGTTGTGCAATGATTTCTCATTCTTAGGATAATTTCTATTATTCTTAAGCTAGAGGATCCCACAAGTTTCATATTTACATATTAAATTGTCAGGTTCTGTAGCTGCTTTGTGTATTGTAATATGATGCTTGTCTTGTTTCAGAATTACCTTAGGTAATATTTGTGTGTTTGGATGGCATGTACATATTGTTTATTATTCCTCAAACAGGTACAAAGCCTCTGGGTTTTTTTCAGTTTTATTGCTTCCTAGATGATTCCTGAGTGAACTCTAAACATAAAAATATAGATACTGCTGCCTTTTGTTATTGATATGTAGAGTAAGGTAATGAGAATGGCCTTCTTGCTGCTAAAGTTCTTTCTGATATTCCCAAAGCCAGTCATTTTAACCATCATTTTGATGGATAGAAGGAAGGAGAACAATTTCCTTCCAGCTATGCCCTGTTTTCTGCCTTGCCTAGGATTAATGCTAGGAATGCTGCACAGCTGGTGGCTCATGTGAGGAAGGGCACATTTCTAGTTGTTGTGAGGTTGATCACTACTACATGTCATGTGTATTAACCATGTGATGGAGCTGTGTCCATCAGACCTAACAGAGGTTGCTTTTACCTCATATATTAGCATAGCATTCACATACCTTTTCATGCTTGTGTGTTTTTGTTATTTTCTTCATTGGTGTTTGTGTTTTCCAAAATTAGACCAAGAGCTTTGGGCTTAGCTACTTTGGATGCTGCAGTCACTATATCAGCCTTTATCTCTCTCCCATGTAGAATTTTGTCTGTGTTTAACAGTCTATTATAAAAGGGTTCAAGTATGTAAGTACAATATGCATAATGATTCAGATTTACAGTTAATAGTATTTTGGATCACAGCTTAACAGAACTAAACATGTTATTGTATGTTGGTTTTTGACACCTTCAGTTGAATTAAAAACAGAAATTGCAAGGGAATTGGACTAATTTAGTTTATTTATAAAATAAAACCTTTGACAGAATTGTCTGAGAATTCTAGAATAAAAATAATTTTGAAGCCAAAATGTCTATTATAACCTCAGTGAGTGTAATTTTTTTTTACAGTAATACTGTTGGCTGATATTTGCTAATTCCTCCCCAATTGTCATATCTAACGGACAGCATTAGAAAAGTTGTTTTCTTGAGTTAGCATGCCTTAATAAGCAATAATATGTTCTTACTTAATGATATCTTATCAAATGGCCTCAATGTCTTTAAAGCTGGCTTCAGTCGTGCTGGGGGATCTGGAGGAACCACCAGGGAAATTCCAGGATTGGTTGACAGGGGCACCGTGTGGGATAGGAACTGCATAGGCAATGTCCTGGAAGAGGCCATGAACTGCTTTGCCGAGATGCAGAGGCAGACAGAGGAGAAATTTCGCATGTGGATAGAAAAGCTAACTCGTCTTGACATGGACAAAGAAAGCAAGCAACAACTGGAGCCCAGAGAACCTAAAATTCAACTAGTTGGCCAAAGAACCCCCCCTACCACACAGTCAGGGGCTTTCATACAGATGCCTGATAGCCAAGTACTTCCACAGCAGTTGTTTAATTTTTACATGGGCTATCAAAATGTCAATGCTACGTTAGAGTTTCCAGCGACTTTTAATAACAGATTTCTACCTATCCTTTCAGAGGTTGGGAATATTGCAGAGCCTGATCTGAATCAATCATAAACTGAAAAAAAAATCTCATCTTTGCAATTTTGATGTTACTTTGAATGATGCTAAAAACAAGGTTTCCTTTTCTCTCCATATGTTTGTTTTGTTTTCTCTTTTGGGTTTTAATACCATGGGTTTGTTTGGTTTTTTTTTGTTTTTTTCATTTTATAGTGAATATATATGTTGTTTATGCATGTGTCAGCACACACATATAAACACCTTTAAAGATTTGTAGGGGAAACCACCCTAAGCTTTCATCACCAAACTTGACAAAATATAACTTAAAATCCTTGTTTAGATACCCCAAAATCAGTAGAGCTATATTTGCTACAGTAGGAGCATTCATCCAGATGCTCTTTTTGCATGTTAAAACATTTATATAAGTACCAGACTAGATACAAACTCATAGCATTTTCTTAACTATGTTTACTTCTGAGTTTTTCAGCTTGAACATGTCATACATTAGTGTTCTTTTTCATTTTAGGCAGAAATAATAAATAAGCTTACCTTTAAGATTTAGCTATATATAACAAATGTGCACAACTGAATTTTTTTTGTCTCCCAGTTAGTGGTTAATTTTCTGTCTAGAGTTTTTATTAATGTCTCTGCTGTGTTGCACATGGCATATTTATGGAAGAAGCTGTCTTATATTGTGTGCACAAATAGGCACATGTACAAATATATATATGTTTGGTTTGGGTGGAAGTAATCTCTCGTTTTAGGTGTTTAGTTTGCTGCTCCCTGGATCTCCTCCTGAGTCAATGGGAAGAGAGAAGCACCTGCAGAGGATACCTTCTGGCAGTCTTTCTCTTGCATTAGTTGTCTAAACCTTCCTTATCAACAGTTTAGAATAGATAACTTCTGGCTGAAATGAGGTGAGATAAATCACACACAACTGCATGTGCATGCATGACCTGTGCACACAAAGTACTTCTGCTTTCTTTCTGTTTATGCAATCAAACTGCATCCTTCATGATAGAATAAAAATAGTCTTGTCAGTGCAAAGATAAGTAGCTGTCACTGGATGTTAGAGGAAGGCCTGACAGTCAGGTAAATAAATTGCAGTGATCTGGAGATTGCTGGTCTGGGTCAGACAGCAAGAGCTTCTTCTGAACCATGTTTGAATGCCACTGAAATAATTATTTATTTGTGATGGGGAATGCCAGAACATTAGTTTCATTTAATTAATGCAAAAACTTGCTATTGTATGGATCTTTTTATACTAATAGTTATCCTGAATAGACAGGCTTGAAACTATGATATTTAAAGTTGGATTAATGTAAACTATATATTAGAATTCTCTATTTAATTCTTACTGTTATCACTATACACTGGAATTTTATTGGTTACCTTTCCATTGAGACCTATCTTCATGTCAAATAACTTCTCGGTAGCTACCAAAAATGTATATTTTTCATCAGTTAAACTTGCTAAAAGTTTCTAATGAAAATTAAATCAGAATTTTAGTAATGGAAATTGAAAGTCTTTATAGACATGGTTTAAGTAAAGAGAATGCTATATGTCTCCATAAGCTCTGGTATTTTACTTTTTGAAAGATACACTTTTTTCCTAATTATTTTAGTGTAATTCCTTTTCTTTCTATTGGAAATATCCACTGTATCTTCTGTAAGTCTGTTTTTTTTATTTTTTTAAATCTCCCTGAAGTCAGTGGGAGTTTTTTCATCAATTTATATTGGGGTTTGGATCAAACATGTAACACACACTCAAGAATCAGTATATTAATCAGTATATTAACACTGGTGTTTTTACATTATTCTTGGCCTAGACTTACTTTTATTTTAAGTATGTGATGCCTTCATTAAAAAAAATGAGATGAGAGAGCTATATTATTTTCAGAGTAACCATTTGAAAGACTATGTAGGAGATAATTTTCAAGTACTGGAATGATTTCTTGCCAGATTACCTTCATGTATAATTTTGATAAAGATTTTGATATGAGCTTGTGTCTTGGTTTGAAAAGACAGGTATCTGCTAAGGAAGACAGGAGCCTCCCCTGAAATGGAAAATGTAAAACCCCTGCCTCCAAATTGTTATAATTTTGAAATTAAGAGGCTCTCAGGCAAAGATATGGGAGTAGGAATAACAGTTCTTTATTAGGGAAGAAAATTTAAAAAAAATGCAGTAATACAAAACAACACTGACAGAGTCAGAATACAACCTGACACCCTGTTGGTCAGGATGTTGGTAGCAGTCCAATTGAAATGGTGGCTGCAGTCCTCCTGGAGTGACAGATGTGGTTCTGTTGAAGCAGTGATCCTGTAGAAGGGTGTAGTCTTTCTCTGAAGATCCAGTGGTGGTGTAGATGGGCCTTGTCTTCCTCTGGGAATCCAGTGGAGAAGGCTGCCCTGGTGTTCTAAATCTCAGATTCTATCCAGGAATAAATGCTTGGCTCCTCCCCCTGGGCAGGGCATCTCACAATGGGCTGATGTAATTTTATCAGTCATGCAGTGAGACTCAATGGCCCATTAACAGTAGATATTTCCCAGAGGGAGGATTGGTTTGTGGAAGAGATAAAGAAAACTGCCCAATTAACAGAAGATAACTGCACCACCTCTAACAAATGGCAAATAGAATACACACTTATCTTACAATCCAGGACAGCTTGTTAGAAAAATCCCTTATCTAAAATTGTGTGCATTTCAGGTAAAAGTTAAACAAGTTATTCTATGTTTGATTGTAATTTAATAAACTTGTCCTCATCTCTTTAACATTTAATATCCTTCAGGGTAGATTATTTGCTGATATATATGGAAAAAATAAATAAAAATCTTCTGGTGTTCAAAGATTAAATATATATATATATATATATATATATATATATAAATATCTTTATGATGATGATAAGAACAGCATATTTTAAAGCATGCCAACTTTACAAGTGTTCCCATGCATGTAGAACCACCTTTTTGCAGTGACTGCTTTCTTTCAATGTGTAAGAGTCCCTGTCCTGGCTTAGGAATGGTATTCTCCAATTTAGTGTTCACACTGAAACCATTCCAAACCACTTGCCGCTTGCTCACAGAGAATTGGAGGCACAAAAGGTAAAGATCATGGGTTGAGATAAGAACAATTTCCTGGAAACAGCAATGAGATAAGAAAAGGAACAGTAACAGCTACGATATTAATAACAAAAGTGTACAAGACAGGCAAGCGATTCACTGTGCAAATGCTCACCACTGTACCACCAACAGAGCCTGACAACATGCAACTGCTGCCACATTACCCCAACCCAAAAGGGACCCCTTTCCCCATTCCCAAAAAACTTGTGTGAAGGAGTATGGAATAGCCTCCTGGTCCCAGCCATGCCCCATCCTGGCTACTGTAAAAATTAACCCTCTCCTGGACAGAACCAGGACATTATCCAGTGCTTATTCTACACCATCTATGTTATGCCCAGATCCTACACCTTCCAACTATATACATATGCACACATGTATGTATATATACATATACAAGCACAGGTGACATTTCCATAGTCAATGGCTGTTCCCTCCAAGATGTTTGTTGAGTTTATTTAGTCCATGACTGTGGGTTCTATCCATCCTAGATGTCTTTGTGGGCAGAAGGGCTTGTGAGTTGTTAGCTGGTTGCTGCATCACGAGCTCATGACTGATGTATCTGGAGCAGTCCCTCCTCATTGTCCATGGTAGTTATGGCATACAGCGGCAGTGTCATTCCTCAAACAATATTATACAATTCAACATTGCTGACTGTTCTCACCCAAAAATCAAATCCCCTTAAGATATACATTGTGTTTCTCTGTCCCTCTGCATTACCCACCCAGGCCCTCGAGCAAAAACAATCCCACAGATGGGTTTGCCTTTGCTTGAGGCAGGACTAATCCAAACTGTCTTCCCTAACACATTCCTCATATATACCATGGGGACTTCATCCCCTCCTATGGCATGTGGTGGTTTTGATTGGGCAGGGCCAGCTCAATTGGCAGCACCTCTAGTGTTAACTGACGCGGTGGCCTTTGCTGTATGTAGATCCCAATGTTTGAAGGTTCCCTCACCCATTGCTTTGAGTGTGGTTTTTAACAGTCCATTGTACTGTTCAATTTTCCCAGAGGCTGGTGCATGATAGGGAATATGATACACGCACTCAATCTTGTGCTCTCTGGCCCAGGTGTTTATGAAGCTATTTTTGAAATGAGTCCCATCATCCGACTCAATTCTTTCTGGGGTGCTATGCCACTGCAGGATTTGCATTTCAAGTCCCAATATGGTGTTTTGGGCAGTTGTGTGAGTCACAGGATATGTGTCCAGCCATCCAGTGATTGTTTCCAACAATGTAAGCACATAGTGCTTGCCTTGGCAGGTTTGCAGGAGTGTAATGTAATGAATCTGACAGGCTTCCCCATATTTATATTTTGGCTATTGTCCCCCCCATACCACTGAGGCTATACCTGCTTGGCCTGCTTGATTGCAGTGCATGTTTCACAGTTATGGATAACCTGGGAGATAGTCTCCATGGTTAAGTCCACCCCTTGGTCACAAACCCATCTGTATGTTACATGTCTTCCCTGATGATGTGAGGCATCATGGGCCCACTGAGCCAGAAATAATTCAACCTTATGGTGCCGGTCCAGATCTACCTGAGACACTTTATTCTTGGCAGCTTGATCAATCTGTCTGTTGTTGCGATGCTCCTCATTAGCCCAACCCTTAGGTACGTGTGCATCTACATCATGGACTTTGACAGCCAACTTCTCTACCCAGGCAGTGATCTCTTGCCACAATTCAGCAGCCCAGATGGGTTTTCTTCTGCACTGCCTATTGGTCCTTTTCCATCGGTCCACCCACCCCTACAGAGCATTTGATACCATCAACAAGTCAGTGCAGAGATGTAGTGTTGGCCATTTCACTCATTCAGCTGGAGACAGCTGGATATCTTTCAGCTCTGCAACCTGACTTGATCTGCCTTTGGGACAGTTTGTGATGATCTCCAAGATCCCAAGGCAGTTAGGATTTCCTATCTGAGATTACTGTGTGATCAGTGTTCCACTTAATCCACAAAGCACCAGTGGCATGATCTGTGGAAGGGACTTTCCCTTTGAACACCCAGCCCAGCACTGGTAGTCAGGGTGCCAGGGGGAGCTGTGCTTTGGTGCCAATCACTTGTGAAACAGTATGAACCCCTTCATAAGCTGCCAGTATCTTTTGCAGCTGGGGTTTAACAGGCCTTGGATTCATTGTATCCCTGACTCCAGAATCTGACGCCATGTTCGAGTCTCCCTGGGTACTTCTTTTCAGAGACTCCAGGAAGGACCATTCTTCCCAGCTGTGGAGTAGAGCATGTGCCTCACATCCTGTCCTGACTGGCCCAAGGGCTACTGCACAAACAATTTCCTGTTTAATTTGTTCAAAAGCTTGTTGCTGTTCAGGATCCCACTTGCAATCATTCTTATTCCGGGTCACACGATAGACAGGTCTGTTCTTACTGAAGTTCCAGCATGTCCAGCACAGCAGCACTCAGTGATGGTGTGACTTTGTTCAGGCCATGATAGTCCACTGTCACCCTCCACTCTCCATTGTACTTATGCACTGGCCATATAGAACTATTAAAGGGTGAATGAGTCTTGCTGACCAATCCCTGGTTCTCCAATTCACAAATCATCTCATGGATGAGAGTCCAAGTTAGTGTGGTGTTGTCAATGGTGCAGTGTTGTTGTTCTTGGA